GTTTTTCTCAATGTACTTACGGGTCAAAGGCACCAAGGCCGACCCATTGGATTGATATCCTGATATACATTGATATGTTGAGTATGAGATAGCTCTGCATGATTATATGTTAGTTTGCTGATATGCATGGACCGGTAGATCTGTAGGACTACCTGTGATTTCTGTTTGCATGATTATTTGTTTGTTGCTTATGTTTGTTATCTGTTATATGTCGACAATATGTGTTCGGTTGAGGTTGTATTGCTTTGTGTTGTAGCCAACAAACCCGGGAGCATTCCAGATATGAGATGAGGGCCGGTTGGCATGCCAGAATCATACTGAGGGCTCGAGAACATTCCAGATACGATCTGAGGGCCGATTGGTATTCTTGACTCGTACTGAGGGCTTGAGGGTATTCCAGTCCGATAACTGAGTGGACCCACTGTATTGGCATTCCAGTCTGATGACTGATTGAGCCAGGGGTAAGCCAGACATAAGCTGTGGGCCCCAAGGGCAAGCCAGACTTATGTTGTGGACTCTGGAGCAAGCCAGATATGAGTTGTGGGCTCGATAGGCATGCTAGACTCATACTGTGGGCTCAAGGGTAATCCAGTCTTTTAGTTGTGGCCCCAGTGCATGTTGTTATTTGTTATGTTTTCGTGGTGGTACTTTGGGGGAACTCGCTAAGCGTTGGCTTACAGTTTTAGTTTTGTTTCAGGTACTTCAGAGGACTGTGGCGAGGCGAAGGCGTGACCGTACACATCCTTGGTTTTACGACTGATCGGATCTTGGGAGAATCTGATTTTAAATAATGTTTTAGAAAAACTTCTTTTAGTAAATGGGTTGTTTTGAAAAGTTTAAATTTGTTGTAATTTTAGGGATGTTACAATATGGTTTCCACTTTATGTATTTCTTAAGTGTTTTTTCTGCTTGATATTATATTTTATAATTTAAGGACGCCCTTTATTAAATAAAGGGCATGTTTTGGAAATGTTTTTCGTTGAGGGGCTTTATCTTATCCTTTGATAGTAAGAATTCATATATTCTTGACTTCCTGTTTTAAAACCTTCGGTAATACATTCCATATTTTATTTTCGTGGATATGATAAACCTTGTTGGTTTTATTACATGATATTATGTGTAAACCCTGATTGTGAATTATGTGTGGGTTCATGAAATGTAACTTTTGGAATTGATTTGATACTTAAAGAAAAAAGGCTTTATTTTTGCAAAAATGATTTGAGCATCCATATGTGCATATCATGCAAGGATGGGTGTGACTTTGTGGTCCCGGGTACCCAATGAGCAGTTTGTTTCTTGTTATTTGTTTGTGAGTAGATTTCTAGATAATCCTCACGTGCACGAGTAGTGGCTCGCTACCCTTTGTGTGGCCTAGGTTTGATAGCCCCTAATGCCTTGTTGGTGGGTGTAAGGGAGAATCGGCAAATTCGTTCGTCTGCGTTCTTCACACCCGACCATCATTATTTTGTTGGCGGATGTGAGTACGAAAATGGACTGTCTGTCATGAGTTCATTGCATCTGACGTTTGTTGTGAGCTGGAATCTGAGATTTACTTGGGTTGAGATAGTTGCATGCATTGCATTGCCCATTAGGATTGTTTCTACCTAAAAATATATCAGGAAAAGTATCAAATTTTGTATACCGATTTATTAATCGGATTATCGTTTTCGAATATTTTGTAACTCGTATGAGTATTATTTGATCTATATGATCTTGTTTAGATTTTAATTATGGAGAAGCTTTTATTTTAGGACATCTACCTCTTATTGTTTATTCGTTTGTGATGTTTATATGAGATTTGTTATAAATGACAATGCACTTTGACTTATGTCATATTTTACTCCCTAGCTAACTCTTGAGGCTGATTTTGCTGTTTTGAGAAGGTATGGGTTTGTACATTGGTGTATGAACCAAAATATTGATTCATACACTGTCCATAATGTCTAACCCTGGGATCGTACTCACTAGGCTCCCCATAGCCTAACTTACTTGTTGATAATAATGTTGCGGGTTAGTAAATATTGTTAAAAGCTTAGGAGACTCATAAGCTTTGGATATTTAGAAGTCATTTGGTTATGTAATGTTTTCTTAAACCTTGTTTTGATATTTGTTGTGACATTCTCACAAGAATTTTTTTTTATCAAACCACTAACTGTTTGGAAATTTTTAATTTGGATCGTTATCTGTTTTTGAATTCTGTAAAATACTTTGAATTAAACGTTGAGATTTTTTTCCGCAAACTAAATCTCTGAAATTATTTTGAAAGATTTTATTAAATGGTATTTCAAATAGGCTCTTAAGAGAGGTGTTGCAAAATATATATATATATATATATATATATATATATATATATATATATAATTTTATTTTTGATTATTATTTAAAATCTTATTAGTTAATATTAATATTAATTTGTTATTATTGATGTTTAAGATTTTTTATGCTACTATAAATGTTTTTAGACTATATATTTTTCTTTTTGGTGAATCAAGTGCAAGCATGGATGCTTAAGATTCTTTTATTTCACTAAATTTTAATGAGGGCTAAAATTTTCAGGTTTCTAGATTAAGACTTAAAGGGTAAAGGCTAAAGGCTAAAATTTAAACCAATAAAATATTTTATTTTTCGTCTCTTGCACTTTTAAAACCACACTACAAAAGATAACCACACCATTTCACTTTATGTTTTAAAACAGAAACGACACCACTAAAAACCGCTCCACTTCATAAATTGAACATCATGGTTTTGAGATTACAAAAACTGATGTCTTCGGTTTGCGACTCGATTTTCGATTAGAATCGTATCAAACCATATCATGGTCATCCCTAAATTGATCAAGATGGCATCCTGAATAGTTCAAACAATTTCGTTTTGATTACATGAAAAATAAATTATTATAATTATAATTATAATTATAATTATTATAATTATTATTACTAGGGAAATTTGCAGGTTAGTCGATATTCCAACCAGTTAACAACTGGGTGTTGTGCGTAGGGATTTAATTGAATATGATGTCATAATGTATGAACTTTATATGAGATTGTTAAGCGTGAAACCGGCTAATCTGAAAATTTGTCCACAATTGAATAAGTTAACTAGTATTCGAGACTTAATGAGATAAAAAAATAATATAGAGACTTAATTGAGTATGATGTCAAAATATAAAGACTTTATAGGAGATTTCATTTATTTATTTATTATTATTATTATTATTATTATTGTTTTTGTTGTTGTTGTTATTATTATTTAATAACTACAAATATCTATTTATCTTTTATTATTGATTAATACATATTTATTTTAATAGATTTTTTAAACTTTACACTTGAAACTCAAATACTATTTACTACGGCCATCACCAATCACCATTCGTCACCACCACCTATAACTCAAAACAAAATGGAAAAGTTCGATAAACAAAAACCTATAAAAAATCAAAGAAACTCATTTGGAAACCAAAACCCTAACCTAAAACTCGATGCCAAAACTTGGAAAACTCAAACACCAAAAAAAAAACAAAAAAAAAAAAAAAAAAAAAAAAAAAAAAAAAAAAAAAAAAAAACTTGAGATGTCCAAACCAAAACACTAAAACGCGAAGAACATCCCTTATTTGAAACCATTTACACCATCACCACAGTCTCTTATCATTGGAACTCATACGGTGAAAAACAAAGCAAGAATATAAACAACACCTCTTTCGAAACCAAAACCCTAAACTAAAGACACGTAGCTTCCATAAAAGGTTTGGACACCCCAATTTCAAAGACAGAGAATAAGAACCCCTTGCGATCATGGACAAATTTGAACCTAATCAAACCAAGAACCCTAACCTAATCGAACCAATACCAATATGAAGTTGAAACCAAAAACCTTTCATCGAATGGGGTGTCGGTCATGGTAGGATATTGATTTTTTGAAGAATGCAAACCATTGAAGGGTTTGAAAAAAGTGGAAGAACATGAACTGTTGAAATCGTTGTAGAGTTTGAAGGGTGGAGATCACAATGAATTTTTACTACATAAGGCTATCCGAAGTGGATGCCTCTTCACGCGTGAAAAGCTGAGGTGGAGGGGCCAAGGACGTGTGAACACTGCCCCAAGCCCCGGTGGTTTGGCTGTGGTGTCTTTGTGAAGACGGAAGAAGACGGATGATCCCATTGGCTAGATTTTCTTCCACTCATATTTTTTCTCTTTCTCTCTCATTCTTTTTGCCTCTTCACACCCTAACCACTAGTGAATACCATTTCCACAACCTAGTGGATTGGTTGTGGAATGGATAAATAATGACATGGTATCTTCTCCACACTTAAATCACTCGTGACCACTCCAGGCAGCCTTAGGAGTGGTATTTGAAGGGGTGGAAAACCGTTCATATGATATAAAACGACAACGTTTGGCCACATAGAGTGCCTGCGTGGTCGATTAATGGGTAAAATTGTGTGGTAATGATGGTGTTTTTTGAATTAACAGTCAAGTAGCTTACTTTTTGATAATATATTTTGAAGACAAGGTGTTTATTGAATATTTCATATATTTCGTGACCCATTTATGACATTAACCATTCCAAATTTACAATGATGTCCTAATAAAATATGTATATTTTCATAGATTCCACCAAAAAATCAAAATTCAAAATTACTTCAAATCATCATAATTACAATTATTATTTATCATTTTCATTTCATTCTCTCTTGTATAAAATAGTGAAATACTACAAAAATGTTTCAAGAGTATATCACCTTGGGCCTTGAGCATAGGTCCACCCAATGAGAGACCTTGCCAACGTACTTGTAGTCTTGTAGGCTAATTGGGCTTAACCAAGGTACCTTCAACTCTCTAAGTTGGCTTCTCGATCCACATTGGTTCACCTTAGTGTACCATATACATGGACCCAAATGGTTCCCCATTTACTTTCTACCAAACTTGCACCATTTCATTAATAAAAAACCACACAAACTCAACAAGACTCACACCTACCTTACATTTGAGTCCCAACAATCAAGACCTAACCCCACCATCGTCTAGTCTAACCCATACATGGATATATAACCACCCTACCATACCTAATAACTTCCAAAAAATCATCAACGTTAACAAACTCATTTAAATCAACTGCAAACTTAATTATCTCATAAACAAGTTATACCCAAGAATCATGGATAAGTATGTCTACATATACGCATAATCTGATACAACTAGAAGAAACAGAAACTAAGATCCATGATTAGATTGCTGTTTGTTTACCTTTTTTCATTTTTGCTTTGAATCGGGACTTCAATAAAAGAGTCTCCACTGTGTTTGCAAAGTTCCCAACAGCCATGGTGATCAAAAGAACTCCACAGGTTACAACCTGTTGCAAACAATGTGGATATGATTGAACTTCCAACCAGATTGACCATAACATAAAATGACAAATCACAACATTCTTAATTTTACCTGCCATTCAGAGATGACACCAACCATGGCAGTTTTTAGTAATAAAACACCAACGTAACCTTCAAAAACCTGCAACACAAAGAGCATAGGACACAAGAACCATAATTGACCTTCTACTCCAGCAGTTTCTCCCCAAACAACATCCATTCTTCTAGCCTATAATCAAGAAAAGAATGTCAATAAAACAACCTTAAAAGATCCTAAATTGCTTATGATATAGGTCGAATCGAATCATTTAATATGATTATAGAACCTTTCCCAGTGCAATACGTGTATAGAGTCTCTGCCTTTGGTATTTATTTTGTAACAGCATTGCGATTCCTTGCATGATTGCCCATTTTAAGAACAATTGTATCCCTTTCTGCAAACAGGTTGATTACAAATAATAAAGATTAGAACATCTGAACATGCATGGCGAATGTTTATAAATTTACAACAAGTTAATACATTTTATAACAAAAAATAACCTGCTTCTGGGCACACTCAGGTTCCCTTTCTATCTCCCAAGTCAGACTGATGAGTGCCATAGTCATAGCACAATAATGATGGTAAATCCACCTGAAGAAAGTGTCACAATTTATGTAAATCATGTGAAATACGTAAGACTAGAGAAGAGTAGAAGACAGATGAGATTACCATGGGCGAATATCACTTCCATTAACCCTGAGTATATTTTCTCTGAATGACAAGCCTGTGTAGAGAAAGAGTAGCCATGCCTGAAAAGAACATGCGGATCATATGCTTTTGTGTATGATAGATACACTTGGATGAAAGAGATGAACATGTAACCTCACCTGGTAAAGCTGCACAGGCAATGCAGGAAAACATCCGTTCCACATCCATGTTCGTAGTACCAGTAGCAATGATGGAAAAAGAAGAAACAGATACGCAGTTGTATCCTACAATCAAATAAGAAAAAACGAAAATTAAGCAATGATAGATTTCAAGAAAAATGAAGAGAATGCGATAGTGTTGAAGCTACGAAAATAACTGTACCCTGAAATTGTTGTACTCCTCTTTCACTTTCAGTTGAACGTCCTTTCTGTTAGCACGAACATTTATCGGGCCAAGTAACATCCTCAAAAACCGTCCTGCTCAAAACACACATGGCTCCATCAACAAAATGGAACACCATATTAGGAGTTTTTTCTCCAAAATCAAGAAAACCCATATCGATTTTAGAGTTGATTTGTGTCGAACTCTCAATGATGAATCTTGTAAGGGGACAAATAAACGCACCGTGGGATTTGCAGGGAAGATATGCAGCTGCATCACCTTCATTTAATGCAAAATTAACTCTGGTTAACTCTTCAATCATCTGTGTACAGCAACAGACGCGTAAACAAAACAAAGTGAAAAAGAAAAAGGAAAGTTGTAATAAATCATTAGTGAATTTCGAGGGTATTCCAGTGGATTACTTTTGCAGCATTCTTAGGATCTAAATTGCCTTTCTTGAGGGAAGAAAAGATGAATGATCGGAGCATTTTGATGTTCGAACGGAGAGCTAGAGCTCGCTGTCGGAGGGATGCTTCCTCCTCAGATGTTCGAGAAATTAAGGATGTTGCAGAATCCTGCAACTCTTTACTTTGTTCGACGACTCTTGACACTTCATCAGCAGCATTTCTCACTGGCCCATCGGAACTGACGACGGCGGAGTGTCCCATGGCTCTCTTGGTTCACTTGGGCTCTAATCAAAACATCTTTGCATGTCTATAAGTAAAGAAATAGAAAGAAATAAAGAAATGGGATGTCATCGGCGGTTGGTGATCGGAGAGGTGGTGGGGCCGGGGGTTTTGAAAAGCGGAAAGTGAATTGATTGGGGGAATGAAGGGCGTTGGGTGCAATTTATTTCTTTCTTGAAACTGGTCAGAGTGCAGACGAGCAACTCCCACCTAACTCAAAAATTAGTAGTGAAAGAGATCACCGGTAAGTGGTAACTCCCCTCCTCCTCCATCTTCACCTCCGCCAAAGCTTCCTTTCCTGTAGTGAAGTGAACGATAGGTGCAGTTACGCACACCAGTTTCATGTCCAATGCTGTCTGTGCCGACCTTGCATTTATGTAACGAGAACGATGGCAATGAGTAGTAATTTTACTTTTTTATATGTTTTATTTATTTTTTCATAATGATATTTTCTTTTAACGGCTATTAGTTAGGTGTTCTTTGGTTTCCACAATCTTTTTAAAGGAATTTGAATTGAAATATATTATGAATTAGGTTATAATCAGTGTATTTATAGTTGACAAGGTAAAATATCATAAAAATCATAAATATCGCAATCATCAATCATAAACTTGTAAATAATTATTTTCATACAACATTAATCATCGTTATTTTTTATTAATATATAAAATGGTATCAAAACATCAGTTTTGTTTTTTAAATCAAGATTAATGATGAAATCATCATGTTATATAATAAAAATATAAAATTTGATAGAGTGAAGAAAACAAAAATCATACATGGTAACACCATTCTTTTATTTAAAATATATATATATATATATATATATAATATATATATATATCTATATATATATATATATATATATATATATAACACATACATCAACACAAAATGAAAAAATAGATTACAACTCAAAATGATAGTGGACGAAAATGAAATTTAAATTAATTTAAGATTTTATTTGGTTAGCAGTACATGAAATTGTAATCCATGTAATAATTGTCATTTTTTGTTTGTTTTGCTTAATTTTATTAATTTTGTTTTCTATCTTACACGTGAAGATATATTATATAAACTATAAAAATAATAAAGTTTTATTTTATTAATGAGCATTCATGTCGGTGACGGTGGCAGTGGTGGTGGCGACGGCAGCGATGGTCGGTGGTGGCGGTGAGGGTGACGGTGATGATAGGTGGTGGTGGTGGTCGTGGCCGTGGCGATGCTAGGTGATGGTGGTAGCGGTGGTATGTGGTGGTAGTGGTGGCGGTAGATGGGTGGTGGTGACGGTGGTGGGTGGAAGTGGCAGTAGGTGGGTGGTGTTGGTGGCAGTAGAGGTGGTGGTGGTGGTGCATGGGTGGTGGTTGTGGTTGTGATGGGTGATGGTGGTAGAGGTTATGTTGTGAAACAAAACAAGGATAATAAGGTAAAATGTCGCTTTCCTTCATAGTGGGGAATTAATTTCATCATCTTCTTGAATGAAAGTGTTTTCCCCTATTTTATGGAAAGTTTTTTCATTTAGGATTCCAATTCTATTATACAAAGTTGAACTAAACACTGAAATGTGGTGGAAGTGAATTATTTTTCCCCAAATTTCATTTCATTCTATTCCAGCTAATCAGACAAACCCTAAGTTTACATCAAGGATGGAACGCAAAATTGCAACAGTTTGTGTCGTTACTTTTTCTAGATTGTAATTTTTTTTTAAATCTATGTTTAAAGATATCGAAGCCATAACGTTATATATATATATATATATATATATTATATATATATATATATATATATATATATATATATATATATATATATATATATATATATATATTGCACTTTATTGATGAGTTTCTTAGTCTCTTGTTATAGGAAATTATAGTCTCTTGTTATAGGAAATTAAGAATGACAAACATTAATGGTATAAACACGTGTTGATTATACATGCATGTTTTCCATTTTGCATAAAAGTATTCAGATTGGTCGCCAATATTGAAGCCCTCATTTCTTAAGCTCATAAGAGGGGAAACACGTGTTCAATCCACACATACGTGTTTCCTTCATATCCGAAAACGAAAACATCAATCAGTCTGAGTGTTGATCTTCCTTCCAAAATGTCAGTCAAGAAATTTTTGGGTGCTTCTTTTTTAGCGAAAACCTAGTTCGCCTAAATACGTCAAAAAGAACGCCCCTAACAAAATTGTGCCAGTACTTGAAACTTGAGAGTTCTCTGCCATAATGTAACGTCCCAAAAATAAGGCCATAAAATTTCATTGTTAATCAATTAAAAACAGTGCTCCAAACATTATCCATACAAGTTTAATAAAGAAAGTGTATGAGTATTATTTCAAATCAGAGTAAATTATAAAATGCAAAAACATGTGGTGCATGCCCTGCAATCATCCGAAGCTCCCTTGTTTGAAAACCATAGTACCTGAAACACAAACTGAAAACCGTAAACACAAAGCTTAGTGAGTTCCCCCAACATACCACATACAACACAAACATATTGTCATGCATATATGGGTGCCCGACCTACCCTGCCGAGCATATTTAGGTGCTCGACCTACCCTTGTCAGGCATATCTGGGTGCCCGACCTACCCCTTCGGTCTATTTCAACCGGGTATTGTCGAGCATATCTGGGTGCTCGACCTACCCTTGTCAAGCATATCTGGGCGCCCGACCTACCCTCCGGTTTATTTCAACCGGTTACAGGGTCTATTTCACCCTCCACCACTGCCACATAATATCATAGCATACAAGCACATAAATCACAACAGATAGTGACATAGTAGACAATTATCACAAAGACAGTCATCTTTACTATAAACAACAACTAGTCGGTCGACATTGGTGCCTTCGGCCCACTGATACCGGAAAGGTGACTCACCTCGCACTGCTGAAGTCCCGCGAAAAAAACTCTAGCTGCTGGATGACAGATTCCCGAACTGTCAACATCAAAACAACACCCAATTAATAATTGGGTTCCAATACATAACTATAAGCCCATGCTTCGGGTAAAAAGACTACTTTACCCCCAACCTAGCTTGATCCCAGCCCAAGGCCCTAACACACACTCTGAAGGCCCAAAAGCCAAACAATGAACCAAGGCCCAACATATGACCCAATTTTCCAAATTGGGCCCAAACCCCTCACATGGGCCTTACCCTAAAGCCCATCCAAACATCCTAGTCCATATACTTGTTCTTAGATGGCCCACCAAGAATCCAAACATCTAAGCCCAACAGAAAAGCCCAACTCAAAACCCAACACAATTAGGGTTTTCACATAAAATGACAAATAGGGTTACTTAGAAGCACTTAACCCATTAAGGACTTAATCCATTAAGTCCATCACTCTACTAGGTCAACCATACAATGTGATCAGGCTTAATTCATAATTATCCAACTGTCCAAAACGCGGGTCCCGATAAATCCAAAACTAACATCTCCAAAATTAGGGTTTTCTAAACCCTAATTAGGGTTTCCAACCCAATTGTATGACAATTAGTCCAATGGTTAAGTTTTAGGTTAATTAATGTTAAATAAGTCGGGCACCGCCCACTACCACCTCGGTCAGTGGTGGTCAACGGCGGTTCATGGCGGCAGCCACCACCTCACGACGGTGGTGGTTTTGATTCTAGACCAAAACACATCAAAAGTCAACGCTCCGAGTTAACCTAACTCTTCGAGTTACCCTTTAACTCGTCGAGTCCACCCCAAGTCAAAATCGTGATATTGCGATCCAACTCGACGAGTTTTCCTATAACTCGTCGAGCTCCGTTTTCCAATAGAATCGGGGTAACCCCAGCCCAACTCGTCGAGTTCACCTGTGAACTCGTCGAGTTCTCTAGTTTGTCAACCCACTTAATGCATTAAGCCCTTTTTCTTGAACCCAAAGGTTCCAAACCTCAGATCCCCATCCATAGAGATTCCTAGAAGGGTAAAGTTTCCAACTTTACCCCCAAGGATCATCTAATAAGCTCTAAACCCAAAACCCTAGTTCCTTTAAGGAAGGTCTTGACCCATTAAGCCCTTAAACTCTCATCACAACGGCCCAAAACACAGATCTGATGTCCAAAGGTGGAAAAATCACATAAAGTTTCTATCTTTACGTCCATGCATACTTGTAACACTCTCTAGGGTCCATATTAGGCTTTCTAATGAACATATTGCATGAATGGGACATGGAGGCCATTAAAGTTTGCAACTTTAAGCCTCAAGATACCATGGAGGGGTCAGATCTAGCTTGACAACCCCTGGAATCTATTTCTTTTGGACAACTCCACCCAAGATCCCAAAATCATGCTTAAACTTCAAAAGATGATATCTAATAAGCTACATGTCAAGGTTATGCCTTTATACATCAAAGATGTAGCCCTTGATGTAGAGTTTCTAGATCCAAGTTTACTCCTCCAAGCTTGACACTTCTCTCTTCAAAACCTCCTTCAAAGATCTCAAAAAAAATCACTCAATACTCACAAAACTCAATGAACAAGAGGGGGAGGCGATTCTAGGGTTTTCTCTGGGCAAGGAGGCTGGTAAGGAGGCCAGCCCTAGAGGTTAAGTCCTTTAAATAGGGTACAATGCCCGAAAATTAGGGTTTTCATTTCCAGCGTCAACTCATCGAGTTGGGGCTCCCCAACTCGTCGAGTAGATCCTCCGATCTACGCAGCTGGAAGGCTTCCTACTCGTCGAGTTATAGCCTCCTAACTCGTCAAGTTCCTTTCAATACTTAAAAAGAATTTAGAATTAATTCATACCTAGACCAAGCGTTACACGACGTACACGACGTCAAACGCACCGAGAGGAACTAAGGAGATGAGAGAGAAGTGGCAGATGGCCTAACCAGAAGCTTTTCGGTCGCTCACGACCCATGCAGCAACGTACACAACCCATTAGTCGGCCTTCGGCGGTCATCCCGGCTGCTCACGACGTCTCCGGTAGTGGAGCTGTGGTGGTGGCGTTCATCGGCAAAGCAGTGGCGGCTGAGAAGGCTCCTAAAGTGGTGGCGGCTGGAGAAAGATACGCTAGGGTTAGGGTTACTACCAGCTATACGGGAGGGAAGGAGTGTCGGGTTTAATCTCGTGCCTTCTTTCAAATTTTTACTCATTGTTCCAAGTTTAGTCCCTCACCATAAGATCTTTTTCAAATAAACTCGCAAACTTACCAAACAACCCTCAGCCTTCAGAATTCTTTACAAAACCAATCTGGAACTTACAGTTTTAACCCCCAAAATCCAAATTATATCATTTAACTCCCTGCAACCAACACCCCGCTAAATATTAAGGATTTTCGATTACAATAAAATAATATGATTTACAGCTCGGGGTTAAGGGTTTATTATTTATTTACTTATTTAATTAAATTTCAA